AATCATAACAAATAGTCGCTCAGACCACAGTGCAATCAAGTTAGAACTCAGAATTGAGAAACTAACTTAGAGCTGCACAGCTTCATGGAAACTGAACAACTGGCTCTTGAATGTTGACTTGATAAACAATGACATGAAAGCAAAATAAAGATGTTCTTCGAAACCAATGAGAATGAAGACACAACATACCAGAATCTCTGGGACACATTTAAAGCAGTGTCTAGAGGCAAATATGTAGCAATAAATGCCCACATGAGAAGCAAGGAAAGATCTAAAATTGACACCGTATCATCAAAATTGAAAGAGCTAGAGGAATAAGACCAAAAAAACTCAAAACCTAGCAGAAGACAAGAAATAACTAAGATCAGAGCAGAACTGAAGGAGATAGAGACACAAAAAAACCTTCAAAAAATCAATAAATCCAGGAGCTGTTTTTTCAAAAAGATAACAAAATAGACCACTAGCCAGATCAATAAAAAAGAAAAGAGAGAATAATCAAACAGATGCAATAAATGATAAAGGGGATATCACCACAGATTCCACAGAAATACAAACCATCACCAGAGATTATTACAAACATCTCTATGCACATAAACTAGTAAACCTGGAAGAAATTGATAAATTCCTGGACACTTGCATCCTTCCAAGCCTAAACCAGGAAGAAGTTGAAACCTTGAATAGACCAATAACAAGGTCTGAAGTTGAGGCAGCAATTAAGGGCCTACCACCTAAAAAAAGCCCAGGTCCAGACAGGTTCACAGCCGAATTTTACTAGGCATACAAAGAGGAGCTCATATCATTCCTTCTGAAACTACTCCAAACAATCCAAAAAGATGTACTCCTTCCCAAATCATTTTATGAGACCAACATCATCCTGATACCAAAACCCGGCAGAGACTCAATAAGAAAAGAAAACTTCAGGCCAATATCCGTGATGAATATAGATGCAAAAATCTTCAATAAAATACTGTCAAACAATTGCAACAACACATCAAAAAGCTTATCCACCATGATCAAGTAAGCTTCATCCTGGGGATGCAAGGCTGGTTCAACATAAGCAAGTTGTAAATGTAATTCACCACATAAACAGAACCAAATTAAAAAACCACATGATTATCTCAATTGATGCAGAGAAGGCCTTTGACAAAATTCAACAGCCCTTTATGCTAAAAACCCTCAATAAACTAGGTACTGGTGGAACATATCTCAAAATAATAAAAGCTATTTATGACAAACCAACAGCCAATATCATACTGAATGGGCAAAAACTAGAAGCATTCCCTTTGAAATCTGGCACTAGACAAGGATGCCCTCTCTCACCACTCCTATTCAATATAGTATTGGAAGTTCTAGCCAGAGCAATCAGGCAAGAAAAAGAAATAAAGGGTATTCAAATAGGAAAGGAGGGAGTCAAATTGTCTCTATTTGCAGACGACATGATTGTATATCTAGAAGACCCCATCGTCTCAGCCCAAAATCTCCTGAAACTGATAAGCAACTTCAGCAAAGTCTCAGGAAACAAAATCAATGTGCAAAAATCGCAAGCATTCCTATACACCAATGACAGACTTAAAGAGAGCCACATCAAGAATGAACTGCCATTCACAATTGCTACATAGAGAATAAAATACCTGGGAATACAACTAACAAACGATGTAAAGGACCTCTTCAAGGAGAACTACAAACCACTGCTTAACGAAATAAGAGAGGACACAAACAGATGGAGAAACATTCCATGTTCATGGTTAGGAAGAATCAGTATTGTGAAAATGGCCATACTGCCCAAATTAATTTACAGATTCAATGCTATTCCCATCAAGCTACCAATGACCTTCTTCACAGAACTGGAAAAAAAACACCTTAAACTTCATGTGGAACCAAAAGAGAGCCCGCATAGCCAAGTCAATTTTAAGAAAAAAAAAAAAAAAAAAAAAAAGGAGGAGGCATTACACTACTGGACTTCAAACTATGCCACAAGGCTACAGTAATCAAAAGAGCGTGGTACTGGTACCAAAACAGAGATATAGACCAATGGAACAGAACAGAGGCCTTGGAGGCAACACCACACATCTACAACCATCCGATTTTTGACAAACCTGACAAAAACAAGCAATGGGGAAAGGAGTCCCTGTTTAATAAATGGTGTTGAGAAAACTGGCTAGCCATGTGCAGAAAGCAGAAACTGGACTCCTTCCTTACACCTTACACTCAAATTATCTCCAGATGGATTAACGACTTAAACATAAGACCTAACACCATCAAAACCCTAGAAGAAAACCTAGGCAGAACCATTCAGGACATAGGCATAGGCAAGGACTTCATGACCAAAACACCAAAAGCATTGGCAACAAAAGCCAAAATAGACAAATGGGACCTAATCAAACTCCACAGCTTCTGCACAGCAAAAGAAACAGTCATTAGAGCGAATTGGCAACCAACAGAATAGGAAAAAATTTTTGCAATCTACCCATCTGACAAAGGGCTGATATCCAGAATCTACAAAGAACTAAAACAGATTTACAAGAATAAAACAAACAAGCCCATTCAAAAGTGGGCAAGGACATGAACAGACACTTTACAAAAGAAGACATACCTGAGGCCAACAAACATATGAAAAAATGCTCATCATCACTGGTCATTAGAGAAATGCAAATCAAAACTACATTGAGATACCACCTCACACCAGTTAGAATGGCGATCATTAAAAAATCTGGAGACAACAGATGCTGGAGAGGATGTGGAGAAATAGGAACACTTTTACACTGTTGGTGGGAGTGCAAATTAGTTCAACCATTGTGGAAGACAGTGTGGCGATTCCTCAAGGACCTAGACATAGAAATTCCATTTGACCCAGCAATCCTATTACTGGTCATATATCCAAAGTATTAGAAATTGTTCTACTATGAGGACACATGCACACGAATGTTTATTGCAGTACTGTTTACAATAGCAAAGACGTGGAACCAACCCAAATGCCCATCAGTGATAGACTGGACAGGGAAAATGTGGCACATATACACCATGGAATAGTATGCAGCCCTCAAAACCGATGAGTTAGTGTCCTTTGTAGGGACGTGGATGAATCTGGAAACCATCATTCTCAGCAAACTGACACAAGAACAGAAAATCAATCACTGCATGTTCTCACTCATAGGTGGGTGTTGAACAATGAGAACACATGGACACAGGGAGGGAAGCATCACACACTGGGGTCTGTATGGGGGAAATAGAGGAGGGATAGCAGGGGGTGGGGAGTTGGGGAGAGAGAGCATGGGGAGAAATGCCAGATATAGGTGAAGGGGAGGAAGGCAGCACATCACACTGCCATGTGTGTACCTATGCAACAATCTTGCATGTTCTTCACATGTACTCTAAAACCTAAAATGCAATTTTAAAAAATTGAAAAATAATGAGCGAAAAAAAGATTTATTTATGTTGCAAATATCCATTTTTTCCCCATTGCTGTAAAGTAACAGTCCCCAACCTGTTTTTTTTGTTTGTTTGTTTTTTTGTTTTTTGTTTTTTTTGAGATGGAGTCTTGCTGTCACCCAGGCTGGAGTGCAATGGCACCATCTCAGCTCACTGCAACCTCCACCTCCCAGGTTCAAGCAATTCTCCTGCCTCAGCCTCTGGAGTATATGGGATTACAGGTGCCCACCACCGTGCCCAGCTAATTTTTGTATTTTTAGTAAAGATGGGGTTTCACCATATTGGCCAGGCTGGTCTTGAATTCCTGACTTAGTGATCCACCCACCTTGGCCTCCCAAAGTGCTAGGATTACAGGCATGAGCCACCGCGCCCCACCTATTCTCCAACCTTTTTGACACCAGGGGCTGGTTTCACAGAAGACAATTTTTTCATGGACGGGGAGGGCAAGTGGGGATGGGATAGTTTCGAGATAAAACTGTTTCACCTCAGATCATCAGGCATTAGAGTCTCATAAGGATCACGCAGCCTAGATCCCTCCCATGCATAGTTCACAATAGGGTTTGTGCTCATATGAGAATCTAATGCCACCACTGATCTGACAGGAGGCGGAGCTCAGATGGTAATGTGAGCAATGGGAAGCAGCTGTAAATACAGATGAAGTTTTGCTGGCTTGCCTGCTGCTCACCTCCTGCTGGGTGGCCTGGTTCCTAACAGGCCATGGACTATTACCAGTCTGCAGCCTGGGGGTTGGTGACGCCTGCTGTAAAGTATTCTAAATGAACTATACTGTATCTATTATACTGCTGATGAAGATTTGTGTTCTTGTTTTCATTTTGAATAAAACTGCTGTGAACATTCTTGTACCTGCCTTTTGGTAGAAGTAAGCAATAATTTATTTTAGGTACTTGGGTCTCCATATATATGTTTAGCTTTAGTAGATACTGCCAAACAGTTTTTCCAAGCAGTTGTTGAATTTACACTCTGTCAGCAATGCAACAGAGTTCCGGTTATTTTACATCCTCATTAGTACTTCTTGGTGTTGGCAGTCTTTTTAATTTTAACCTATCATGGCTACTAGGGAAAGGGTTAAAGTTTTTTGAGAAGCATGCCATAGGATGTTTGCCTGGCCTGAATCTATTAATTGCCTTTTAGTTTGATTGTCCAACTCCCATGGTTCCATTTTGTTCTCAGTACAAGTACTGAGTAATTTAAGTAACTTAGTGGCATGCCTTTACTGAAATCCACATGTATTTTTGTGTGAGGCTTTTTCAGTCAGCAAGGACCAGAAATATTTGCAGTTTATTTTTGCGAAGACTGTATTGTACTTTAGCTTAAGTAAGGAAAACAGGTGAAGCAAATGCCTTCTAAGAGAACAATGGGAAAGTCATTTAGAACCCAAGGTAGCTCAAAAGCCTAAACCTTCTTGAGCCTTCAGCAGTAGGATCTATTGCTTCTTCCTTTAGAACTCTCACATCCTGGTGACTTAGCTTCACTTTACTGTTCCTGATGCTCTGACTCCTCTGCTTATACCTCCTCCTCATATTAACTTTCCTTGTGTCTATTTCTTCCAGCTACTGCCCCAGCTACCAACTAGAGGAGTCACTCCTGACAACTATTTCAAGGTAGAATTTTCACTAAGCCATTTCACAGGCTGTGGTCAATCTATGCATTAATCCACATTGAGACAAGTGTCCATCCATAGTCCAGTTAGGTATGGCCCCAGTAAGCAGGACCATGTGGTATCAACATGGCTATTTATGATGAAGACATTCCCTTAGAAGGGCACTGTGGGAAAAGCAAGCAGTCTGAGTGCCTGGCTAGTTTAATTGCATATATTATAGTCTAATTACTGTGTATATTATATTCTAATTCAGTAGACATTTCTCAAGCCCTCTCCTTATCTGTCAGTAAACTCTTGGAAAAGAAAATGAACTGTTTATACTGAATAACTTTTTTATTTATTTTTTATTTTTTCGAGACAGAGTCTTGCTTTTGTCACCCAGGCTGGAGTGCAGTGGTATGATCTCAGCTCACTGCAACCTCCATCTCCCAGGTCAAATGATCTTCCCACCTCAGTCTTCCAACTAGCTTGGCCTACAGGCACACTCCGCCATGCCCGCCTAATTTTTTTGTACAGACAGTTTCACCATGCTGTCCAGGCTGGTCTTGAACTCATGAGCTCAAGCTATCCACTTGCCTCTGCCTCCCCAAGTGCTGGGATTACAGGTATGAGCCACTGCACCCAGCCTGAAGAACTCTTCATGGTGAATCTGTCCCTGTAGACTGGTTGCTAACAGGCCATGGACTATTACCAGTCTGCAGGCTGGGGGTTGAGGACCCCTGCTGTAATGTATTCTGGATGAATTACACTGTATCCATTATTCTGATGATGAATATTTGTGTTATTTCATATTTTTTAATGAATAAAACTGCTATGAACATTCTTGTACATGCCTTTTGGTAGAAGTAGTATATATAAATTTTATAATGTCACATTATACCACATTATGCCACTTTCCTAGTGCTTATAGTCTCCTTTTATATGTTCTCAAATAATATGTAAGTCCTAAAATATGTCTGTAGAACAGGATCAAGCCCAAAGTGAATTTTATTCTGTAGACAGCATAGGTTAGGATGTGTGAGGTATACCTGGTTGTTTTAATTCCATTTTACAGATGAGGGAACTGAGGGCCAGAGAGGCAATGAGATTTGCCCAAAGTCACATGACTAGGAAATGGGGGGCAGAGGTTGGTGGGGGGTATCAGGAATTAAATCCAGGTTTTCTGGTTCCATATCCAGAACTCTGTCCATTACTCCACACTGACATGTCCCATACTCATGTCCAGACTAATAAAAGCACAAAGGAGATTTGATAAAAGCAAACTGTAGTTTGCCAAGGCAAATGGTGAGAATTGAGAGGAGGCAGATCTCCTAAAGGTTGAGGTGACCTGGGAGTACTGCCTCAAGGTTTTGAACTAGGCCTTGTAGAGTTGGTTGGATTTCGAATGGTATAGAGAAGGGAGAATGGTGCAAATGAAGATACAAAAGTGGGGAAACGAGATTTTCCAGAGACAGAAAAGAGACTTGTGTTGCTGGGTTAGAGGGTTTATGTAGGAAAGGAGTGGTAAAATGTGTGGTAAAAAGTAATGAGACTTTGATAGCTGTGACAACTTTACTCTTTAAAAAATCAGATCATAGCCATGCACGTACAGTGGGTCATGCCTGTTATCCCAGAGCTTTGGGAGGCCGGGATAGGAGGATCGCTTAAGTCCAGGAGTTCAAGAAGTCTGGACAACATTGATGAGATCCTGTCTCTACAAGAAGTAAAAAAAAAATTGGCCAGGCTTAGTGGTGTGTGCCTGTAGTCCTAGCTACTCAGGAAGCTAAGGCAGAAGGGTCACTTGAGCCAGGAATTCAAGGTTATAGTGAGCTAGGTTTATACTCCCGCACTCTAGCCTGAGTGGCAGAGTGAGATCTGTCTCTAAAAACAAAAGCAAAACCAGATCACATCATGATATTATGGTGAGAAGAAAACTTGAAGTCATTGGTTGTTAAGATTCCAGGCTGAGGTGAAAAGGACTAAACTAAGATGACAGCAGCTGGAAATAAGTCAGATCTGAGAACCGCTGAGAAGGCAGGATTAACAGGATCTGGAGACAGCCTAAATATAAGGGGAGGAGAGAGAGATGGAAAAGAGAGCTGTCACTGGAGAGTTTGAGCCTTTGTGACTGGGACACTCTGGTACCAGTATCAGAAGAGGAGGAGGCAGTATGTGTAGTGGGTTAGCTTACAGGCTTTGGACCAAAGCAGACCTGGGACCAGTGACTTAACTCCTCTGAGAGGGTTTGCTGGCGGCTGTGTAGGGAGACAGATTCTCACTTCTCAGAGTGGCTGTGAGGGTGGGAGGTACTGCAGGTAAAGTGAAATTCTATAATGTCACACGCTTGGCATCCAGGCACTTAACCAAACTTTAGCTCTCCTCCTCCTCACCCCAACTTCTCTGGAAGATAGCAGAACCTAGTTCAAGCCTCATTTTTTTCATAGGCATACATACAATATCCTCTTTTTTAAAAATAATAATAATTAAATAAAAAGGAACTGGCTTTACAGAGAGAATAGGTTCTTCCACCTTGTACTCTGAAGTAGAGGACAGATGGAGCCTCTGGGTCTCCAGATCCCCTACCTTTTTTTTTTTTTTTTTTGCATTCTTTGGTATCTAAGCTTTAATCAAACATTCAAGGAGCCTGGTGTGGTGGCTTGTGCCTGTAGTCCCAGCTACTTGGGAGGCTGAGGCGGGAGGATAACTGGAGCCCAGGAGTTGGAGCCAGTCTGGGCAACACAGCAAGAACTCCATCTCTTTAAAAAATTATATATATATATATATATATATATATATATATATATATATAATTAATAATATAAAGTATAATATATCATAATATATAGTAATATTATATACATATTTATGAAATAAAATACAAATTCAAGCCCACAGAGAGAGTTAAAGATATCTTTGTAAGGGTAGGTGCTTCCAGAAGCAAGCAACTCTACTGCCTCTCTGGTGTCGCCATGGCCTCCCCCTTGGGACTATTTCTGAGCTTGAGGGTGGAACTCTGGTGGCTCACTGGATTGTAGTGTGCTTGTAAAACATGCCCAGCTTCCAAGCACTGCGTTTCTAATAGTTTGAAATTCTGGTTGTCACCCAGAGATACGCAGATGGAAACTGGGTTTGGGCAGAGTTCTGGCAAAGGCTGCACTGAGACGCCCGTTCCCTTGCCCTATTAACCCAGGCAGCGCAGGCTGCCTAGCCAGCTGGGGCTGCCATTCTGGAGCTGCTTCCGGCACGCTTCTCCCACCCTGGCAGCATGCCCGCCAAGGGCTCACAGTGCGGCATAGAGCGCAGCACAGTGCCACACCAGCCTAAGCTGCATTACTCCCCTTTCACGCTGGCCATCAGGTATCTCCTCAGGTGTGCCCAGTTGCCATAGCAGCTGCAGGCGCCGGGACTCATAGACTGGGGTGAGAACCAATCAGCAGGCCACACTGTCCACCTAGCAGCCTGGGTGGCCTTTGGACTGCGGCTGGCTACCGCTCTCCAGTAGAGAAGGGCGGTCCCTGGGTGGTGGCCTGGGGCTGGCCTCGCCCCACTTCCTTTCCTTGGCATACCTGACCCTGAGTTCTGGTCAGCAACCTGGTGTTCATTTCCCACCCCACTCTTCCGCGCCCTGATTTCCCAGTTCAGAAAGTTCAGAATTGAACAATCTGGCAGTGTTCTCTCGCCAAGGCACGGCTTCCATAAGGAGGGCAGGCAACATAACTTTGTTCCCATTTTGCAGCCTTTCCCCTAATATCCCTGGAAACAGCTTCTTGATCATTCCAGAGGTGGGCACTCCTAGCCCCAAGCAGGATGTTGTTTGGGCCCTGTAAATCTAGGGCTCTCCCAGCCTACCCGTCCCTGGCACTGGGCTTGCCAGATGTAAGGGAATTGGATGGCTGGTTTATTTCCATCTTATATGAGAAAAGGAAGGGTTCATACCATTTCGAGGAAAAGAGCTTGAACCCGAAGGATCACAGAATCCTGCACCTTCACTACCTGTGAGACACTGGGCAAGTTACCATGCTTCTCTGAACCCCGGCAGCTTCATTGGTAAAATGGTTGTAACAGAAGAATCTCTTAGGTTTCGTATAAGTCTGTATGAGATAATACAGGTAAAGCAGTTAGCCAGGTGCCTGGCCTATAAGTATTCTATAGGAGCCAGACGGCTGTTTTTACAAACAGATACAGCTGTACTGCTAAGAACCAAAGTACTCACATCCAACGATTGGCAAACATTTTCACATTCATCCAATTTTTGCTTGTTGATTAAATTATTCATTTGTTTAACTCATTAATGCATTCAGCATGTATTTACTGAGCATATTATCAGTCGGCTCTTGCCCGGGTCCAGCTGTATTTTCTAAGACCCACCCCCAGGAGAGTTTTAACTGGCCTTGCAAGAGCTGATGAAGTCTAGTCTGGTGGGTTGGACTTGAGATCTTATTCTACTGGCAGTGGGGGTTCAAAATGTGTTTTTTGCAGCTCTAACTTCATAGTCTGAGGTCCCTGAGCAGAGCAGACCTCTCTCATGTCTGGGAAGCACTAAGACATAGTAGCTTTCCACAGCCACCTTTGCTTCTCACCCCTTACCCTTGGGGAGTTGTATCCCCCTTCTCCAGAAAGTCCTAGGCAGCAACCTGGAACCTGCTTTTTCTGTAGTGGGATTCGGTTTCCTAGACCTGACCTGTTATAGTCTTCTGTGCTTTGCTGTGCTGGAGTTGCCAGAACAACCCTATTCTGTTTTCAATGCTCCCAGCATCTTCATGTTGTATCCTTCTAATGCTGTCTCCCTCTTGCCCGCATTGTGCATGTCAGGGTCTGTCTCCAATTGGAATGGATTGGCCATACTGCTGCTCATACTTGCTTGTACTGCCACCCCCTCACCCCCATGCCCTGCACTTAGATTGTGTGGCAGAACCACTACTGAGCAGGTACTCTTCTGAATGTCTGAGAAAGGATCTAACACATGCACAATCTGTGAACACACATCGTATGTGTGATAAGGACCATGATACATGGTGCTGTGGGGCAGCTGACTCTGCCTAAAGAAGTCAGGGAAGGCTTTACCAGGAGGTGATGTTTGAGTCTTCTTTTTTTTTTTTTTTTTTTTTTGAGACAGAGTCTTGCTCTGTTGCCCAGGCTGAAATGCAGTGGTATGATTTCGGCTCACTGCAACCTCCGCTTCCCAGGTTCAAGGGATTCTCCTGATTTAGCCTCCTGAGCAGTTGGGATCACGGGCACCCGCCACCATGCCCTGCCAGATTTCTTTTTATATTTTAAGTAGAGACAGGGTTTCGCCATGTTGGACAGGCTGGTCTCGAACTCCTGACCTCAAGTGATTCACCTACCTTAGCCTTCCAAAGTGTTAGGATGACAGGCATGAGCCACCACACCCAGCTCAGCAGTATTAAAATATTTACCTTGGTAGACAGTGGGAGAAAGTGTATTTCAGGCAAGAAGCCTAGCATGCATAAAGAACTGAAATTCCGTGATGTTCTTAGAGAAAAAGTAATGTTATGTGACTAGAACAAAAGGATTATGTTATTTGGGTTGAGGGCTCATGAGTAGCAGAGGGAGGAAATGAGGCCAGAGAGGTAAACAGGGACCTACTCATCAGGGCCTCATAGGATGTTTTAGGCTTTACCATACCAATGCTGGGATCCTGTGAAGGTTTTATACAGGGGCATGACATGGTCAGATTTGTGCATGAGGAAGGTGGGATGCATGGTTGTAAGGGGCAGATTGTCTCATTTGTCCTCTAGCAATTCCGTAAGACAGGCAGGGAAGACACTGTTATTTACTTTTTACACCTGAGAACACTGAGACCCAAGAGGTTAAGTCAAATACTTTGCTCTTTAGGTCTCAGAGCCAGAAAAGGGAGGACCTGGGACTCACCTGGCTTCCTGGCCCTGGATCTCTTTCTCCTGGGTGCATTGCCATTGTTAAGAGAGTCTTCCAGAAAGCTGCCTGCAGTTGAGCATTGGGTAGATGCTGGCAGGAACATTATGAAGCAAATGGTCATTGATACAATTTCACTGAGGAAGTATAACACTGGGATTTTGCAGCCTTTTAGTGTTCAGTCTCTTGACCTCTTGATCTCTTGTGCCAGTGCACAGAGAGCAAGAAGCAGTGGGGAACTTTGAGCTTCAAGCTCTACATTGGTTTGACAAAATCCATTCATCACTGTCTCACTCATTAATGTGCTGTTACTGATGTTGATCAGTGACTTGTTTCTGGAAGCCCATGGTCCTTGAGGCTGGTCAGCTCTACAGTCCACAGCCCCAGGGTGAACCCCAGCAGTCAGAGGCAGGCCTTTTCTCCCTCTGCATTTTGTGAAATAAAATAATTTTAAAACAAAAACAAAGGTAATATGATGTGGCAGTAAAGAACACTAGCTTGGCGATCAGGCAGACCTGGGTTTTAGTTCTACTGCTGCCACTTGTCTAGCTGCGAAGGTTATTTAATATGTATGCATCTCAGTCTCCTTATGTCTAAAATAAGCAAAGTGAAACTTACCTGAAAAGATTGTTGTGATGACTAAAATGTGAGAATGTTTATAAAGTAGCTTGGCATGACACCTGGCACGTATGAATCCTCAATATATGCTGGCTTTAATTCCCGCAGTTACTGCTGCCGCAGCCGCCGCTACTACTGCCACCACAGTTACAGAATATTTGGAAAATAGAGAATAGTAGAAAAAATATCTTACAATCTTACCACCATGATACAGCTACCCTTATAATTTAAATTTCCTTCAAATCCTTTTCCCTCACCACTTCTGAACATTCCTGATTTTATAGTATATATATTTTATACCCATCTGGGCTTTTTTTTCTTTGTGTTGGTAACTGCATTACACTTATTTTGTCTAACTTTGAAGATTTTTTTCTGATTATAAAAATTATGTATAAAATTCAGAGTATAGGAAAGAAAGAAAAATAATACTCATTGTTAATATTTTGATGTTATCTCCTTCCAGTCATTCTTATTCATGCTTTATTATAGAGTTTGAGATCATAGTATATATATAATATTTATGTAATTTTTTATATTATGAATATTTTCCTGTTATTATAAGCATCATTTTCCAAGGCTGAATAAGTCCCTCAGATGGCTCTACCATAATTTACATAAGCATTCCCTGACGGTTAGACATCTGAGCTTTTTCCAGTTCTTCAGTCTAAATAGCTTCCTGTAGTAGACCTAGGGAACCAGCTTCATTACAGCCAGGAAGCATGTAATGAACTTGTGCTGTGTATATGGTCCTGAGTGAGGCATAGTGGGAGACCTCAGGTCAATCAGACACAGAGCCAGCCTGAAAGGAGCTCAGAGACTAAACAGCCTGGAAATACTTACTGGCAAATAAGCACTGTCAGGGAGTCCACTTAAGTGTGGGTAACCCTTTTCCCTGCGGAATCTGGGATCTGGGAAGCACAGCTCCTACAAAGGAAAAAGCCTGGGAAGCCTTGCTGCTCCTTCCCACCTGTGAATATGCAGGTTGACTTCTAACGCTCAAATGCCTTTTGAGCTACGCTTGTCAGGGGCCTGAGCTAAGAACCATTGAATATTAGCTAAGAACCAGTTGAATATTACTTCCAAGTGGTTTTCACTAGGAAAGTGAAAAATACCACCAAAGGAACTTGTGGGAGAATTAAGAGAATCAGAGTGGCTCTAGTCGTAGTTTTTTATTTTTTTAATTGACATAAAATTGTATATGTTTCCTGTATGTAACATGATGTTTGGAAATATACATGCATTGTGGAATGGCTAAACTGGCTATTTAACATATTACATCTCATAGTTGTCATTTTTGCGGTGAGGAAACAAAATCTACTTTTAGCATTTTTCAAGAATTTAATATATTGACTATAGTCATATATAATAACATGGAGGAACCTGGAAGATATTATGTTAAGTAAAATAATTCAGGCACAGAAAGACAAATAACACATGATCTCATTCAATAAGGAATCACTCATATGTGGATTTAAAAAGTTGATTTCATTGAAGTAGAGGATAGAATGGTGGCTCTAGTCTTAGTTTTGTCACAGACTTGCCCTGGGACCTGAGGTAAGTTACTTCTCCCTCCCAGGCTTCTGTCTTCTCCTCATAATGTAGGTGATCTCCAGGGCCCTTCCAGCATTAACATTCCAGAGTACTTAAAACGTTCCTCTTGTCAGGAGCTAAAGTAAGTATCCTGATAAAGGTCATAGGATAATTCTCCAAAGTCCAGAGCTACTCTTAATTAGTCCTGGAGAACCATTTATGCTTTTGTATTCCCAGTCCTTCCTTCTGCTAGCAGTTGGGACATATGGAGACTGAAGGGCAGGAAGTGTCTCTCACTGGTTGGAAACCCTGTATTCAGAACGTCAAAAATTGTGTTTTATGCATTAGGTATTTTTTTATGTACTTTGTTCTTTCATTCATTCCCTCTTTTAGCAGATGCTAACTAAGTCCCAGGCCTTTTCCAATCCATCTGTGCAATACAGAGGTGAAGGAGACTAAAATACATGTGGTCTCATAAAGAGACAGGAAACAATGATAAGAGGCAACAAGATGATTGCTACAGTGGGGGTGCATTTAAGGGCATAGGACAGGTGCACCTGATCCTACCTACAAGCAACAGCAAAGAAGTCTTAGTAGATACTTTGAGATTTTAAAGGATAGGTAGACATTTTTTAGGTACACAGGAGAGGAGAGGACATTTTGGGTGGAGGAACAAACATGTGCAAAGGGCTAGAGGTGTGAGAGAACGTGACATGTTAAAAGAACTGCAGATAGTTTGTGTGGCTGGTAGGTGAAAGGGAGAGTGGACAGATGAGAAAAAGTCAAACATTTCTCAATGGACCAGTCTGTTTCCACTGAATTCTTTACTCATTTTTTCAGTCCATATGAGAGTAATGGTCTTTTTAGTTCAGTTTTCAAAAACTGTTATCTTTATTGCCTTATCTTTCCATTTTTACAGTAATATATGCTCATTATAGAAAGTTTGAAAAATACAAAAAGTAAAAGGAAGAAAGGATTTAAAAAATTACTCATGGTCTCACTAGCTAAAGACAACTTTAATACCTGGTGAATTTCCATTCAATGTTGTTTTTACTTTCTCTTTTTATGTAGCTGTGAATGTGTTGTCATTATAGTCTCAACTTTTGTGTATGATGTTCCTTTCTATTTCCTCCCTAAAGTTTGCCAAAAATGGATGTTAGTGTCATTAGAAAAGAACTCTGATTATAAAATACACTGGCTGAAATATCTATCCATTTTCTTTGTCTACTATAAGTGGTTTTTTTCTTTCTTTTTTTAACAGGTTTCTTGTGGCTCAGAGCATAATTTGGCAGTAATTGGTGAGTAATTTTTATACTGATAACTGTTTCTTCTGAAAATTATGTGGCAGAATTGAAGACTTTGGTTAACCAAAAGCCACAGTGCATGCAGGCATGCATGTGTGTTAGGGGAGACTGGGGGAAATGGAAGTCTTCGGTTGATCAAGGGTTTACTAGAAGCTCCTTTCCTGAATATTTCAATTCATATTATTGAGCATCATTTTAAGGTATCTGAGCTGGCTTCCCTTCCCAGGAAGTGGCATTTGAGCATATTAAAGAACTTACAGGCTGGGGGTCATCATGTGTAGAAAGCCAGACATAAAAAGGAAGGATGATTGGACTGCTTCTGGTTTTTTGAATAAATCCCCATTCTAAGTTCTTTCCTATTGGTTTGGCTCTTTGTTTGGAAATATGCAGCTCTGCTCACTGCCCTCACTGCCTTGTATTTAGTGGCATTCAGAAACTCTCTGTAGGACTCAAACCTTTGGTTAATAAAGGCTTCTTCTTCTTCTTCTTTTTTTTTTTTTTTTTTTTGAGACTGGAGTTTCGCTCTTGTTACCCAGGCTGGAGTGCAATGGCGCGATCTCAGCTCACCGCAACCTCCGCCTCCTGGGCTCAGGCAATTCTCCTGTCTCGGCCTCCCGAGTAGCTGGGATTACAGGCACGCGCCACCATGCCCAGTTGATTTTTTGTATTTTTAGTAGAGACGGGGTTTCACCATGTTGACCAGGATGGTCTCGATCTCTTGACCTCGTGATCCACCCACCTCGGCCTCCCAAAGTGCTAGGATTACACGCTCGAGCCACCGCGCCCGGCCAAGGCTTCTTCTTAGTTGGCCCTGGATAATCACAGTTTAGTGTTTTCATAATTAGATCTATGAGTACTTCATTCAAAAAGCCTTCACATTACTTCCACAGGTAGACTCAGTTTCCCTCTCACGGTACATTAAAGAGACTACAGTGTAGAGCCAGGTCGCCTAAGTTTAGTACCGACTTCTGCTTACTAGCCATGTGAACTTGGACAAGGTGTTTGACTTCTCTATGCTCATCTTTAAAATAGGGAGGACAGTAGTGCTTACCTTGTAGTGTTGTTGGAGGGATAAATGAGTTAAGATATGTAAAGCACATAGAATGGCACTTAACTCCTAGTAGGGGCTTTGGTAATGTTTGTTATTATTACCTGATATTATATGTTCAAGTAATTGCCCTCCTGTGGGCTTTAGTTGCCCCATCTGTAAAATGGAGAAGTTAAAACAAAAAACCAGGTTTCTGTCCAGCCCTGTTATTTTAGGACTCTTGTTACAACCCCACCACTGACTGACTTGTGTCAATAATTTCTGCTCCTGGTCACTCCTGTCTCCTAGCTTCTAACTTTGAACTTCTGCCAGGAAAGGCCCTTGTGTTTTCCTCATTTCTTGCCTATTCAGAGCACCTAAAGCAGTGTGTGGCTCTTAGCAGAGACTCACACATTCTTTTCTGAATTGAGCTAGACTTGCTCAACTGCCTGGGGTGGCAGCAACTTGAAGCACTACTTTGCAGGCCCAAACATGATGTATAAAGAGACAGAACCAAGGACAGCAGAAAAGGTGGGGAGTCACTGGGGCTGGAGCTAGAGAAGGAGCTAGAAAATGTAACAACAAACCTGCATGCTTTGCAGCAGTACCAGATACTTTATACTGGAACTGCTTCAGCCTGGGTGTAATTAAGACAAGCTAATCGAAGAGTCAAAGGCAGTTCCTAGGACATTGCTGCTACTGCTATCACTGGACTGGGAGAGGTTGGGTTCTCCCGGAACCATCACAAACAAGAAGATTGCAGGGAATCTAAATCTGTGAAAGCACAAAGTCCAGATGAAGGAATGGTGAGAGCTAGCAAAGCAGCAGGTTGAGCTGATGTAGGCAGCCTGGGGCTGTAGAAGGAGCAAAGACTGCAGGCAGACAGCCTTGGTTCAAACCGGCTTCATCTCTGTGTGAGTGTCATTTTTCCCGTCATCTTTTAATGGGGATAATCATTCCACTTTTCAAGATTATTGTGATGAGGTGAGATAATTTATGTGAAATACCTGGCAGATAAAAATTCCTTTGGTTTCTCTTTTCTCTTGGCCAGGTAAGGGGAAGGGAGAAATATTTGTTAGTGTAACTGTTCTAGTGAAATATTTCTTTGTTGGGAGAGAAACAATGATATTCTGGAAAGATGGGTTCAGTGTTACCTGTGATAGGCTATCAGAGGCAGTGGGAGAACAGGGCGTGCTGGTGAGCACTTGAGGGCAGACCTGTTATTTTCCATTTTATCCCCAGCGCCTGAGACCTGAGTGAATGGTTCCAGAGTCAGGAAAGGTGAGTGCAGTCACAGGGCTCTGCACATACGTACCTGCCTGCCAGCTGGGAGCAAGAGACTCTCCATCACTGGAGGAATGAGGTCCTCAGTGGGTGCCCTGCAGGGTGCAAGCTTTGCGACAGGAAGCTACAAGAAGCTACCTGTTAGCCCTGGCAGGAGGCCAGCAAGAAAGAGACAAGTTGCAGGTGGAGAAGAGTTCCTACTAGCTTAAAGCCATGTTTCTCCCTGGGGTTGAGCTCCTCCTTCAACCCTACTACCTTGGCCTGCTTTAGAGAGATTTCCCTGCCTTCAGTCTCATTCCCTGAACTATAGCCCCTCAGTGCCTGGTGCTATGTCCCTCATGTAAAACACACAAAATAGTTATAGAATAGACTAGAAGAGAATATAAAGCAGCCAAACTTTGCCCAAGCATAGAAGCAACCTTAATATCTAATGAATGTGTGACAGATGAATCAACTTAGAAATGGAGGTGAAACAGAATGGGGAAAGGACACAATTGAGAACCTACTGTCTTAGGTTAATGGACGCAACTCATTGAAGTATGTTTGTTGTGTGGGATTAAACGGGTTAAACAGATTGCAGAGATAAGTTGCAGTGTTACCTGAACAATGGGCTTACTGTCCAGCGCATATAGAAGCAAATGCTGTGACACTGGCTTTGAGAAAAGAAAAAGCTTTATTGTGAGTCAACTGACAAGGAGACAGGGAGGCAACACTAGATCCATCTCCCCGGTCTGGGAGTGGGTCAAGCTTTTATGGCATTTAAAACTAATCCCAGGTGATGCCAGTGCAGCAGGTCGGCCAGGCTGGTGGTGGTAACAATTAGGTTGCTAAAGCTTTTCTCCTGAGCATGTCGGGTAACTTTGGCTCTGCATTACCCATAACTTAATAGTGGTTAATTGGTTTGAGCTGGGCCTACGGTTACAGCAGTAAATAGTAGAGCTGGCAACCTGACTTCCAAAATGCTCCTTCCACTCTATCATTTCCTATGGCCTGAAGCAATACGGGTAGTATGGGTAGCAGTTAAGAAGAGCTCAGGCACCGGGTGCGGTGACTCAAGCCTGTAATCCCAGCACTTTGGGAGGCCGAGGCGGGTGGATCACAAGGTCAAGAGATCGAGACCGTCCTGGTCAACATGGTGAAACCCCGTCTCTACTAAAAATACAAAAAAAAAAAAAATTAGCTGGGCATGGTGGCGCGTGCCTGTAATCCCAGCTACTCAGGAGGCTGAAGCAGGAGAATTGCCTGAACCCAGGAGGCGGAGGTTGTGGTGAGCTGAGATCGCACCATTGCACTCCAGCCTGGGTAACAAGAGCGAAAATTGGTCTAAAAAAAAAAAAAAAAAAAAAAAAAAAGAGCTCAGGCATTGGGGTCAGATTGCCTGGAACCAGATTCTGCCTCCTCCACTTAGGAGCTGTGTAACCTATACAAGTGGTTTAACTTCTCTGTGTCTTGATCACTTCAACTGGGATATCATATTATTGCCCTCATAGGGTTATTAGGTAAAGTGCTAAGCACAATGCCTAACACAAAAGTAAAGACTCAGCAAATGTTATATGCTATTATTATTATTCTATGTTAAGACATCAAGGAAGGAAATAATTATAAGATGACTACATGAAAGCCTGAGGCCAGGGTAGGAATCTCAGGAGCTAGAGAAGAAAGTGTCTTTCCCAGCCTGGATATCAGGGTCCACGGCAGGATCTCAGCATAGCTGCAGGACGGATTGTAAGCTGGAGCCTGGGGTTCCCCTCACTGGGGATTCTAGACATTTAAGCAGCCCTGGAAACAGTGCTAGCCCAGATTTGTTCAAGGACAGGATTCTGCTATTCATTGTCCCAGACAGGGACTCAGGCCCTGCATGTTCCAGCCTGAAGCAAGCCCCATGGAAGCCACAGTTCAGTTTCTTGTGAAGATGGAAATTCTACTCTGGTGTTTCTGGGTTTCTTTGTTCCCCTTCTTTTGAAATTTGGTTTAGTTATTTCCTTAGTTTTCCAATTAACTTTCTCTTGACATGTTTTGCCTTTGCTACCAGGTACCCTCATGGCTAGACATGATGGTGAGGTGGTATAAGTTCCTGCTTTAGACTAAGGAAGAACTGCTGGAGCTGAGCATAGAGAGACTCAGGTGACAATCAGAAAAGAGAGAGACAAGGCCATTGGCCATAGCTGGCTTGGCCACTCTCAACCTATCTGCCTTCTACAACGACTCTGCCTCACTGAGCCTGATTCCTAATCTGTAAAATTGACATCATGATACCCACTCCCAGATGTTGTTCTTCCCAATGGCATAGGTATGTCAAGTGCATGCTCAGTACCTGCCATATCATAGGTACTCAGCAGGTGCTTGTCTACGTGGCTGCTTCACTAGTTCACTTTCTTCCTTTCCAACCAGGATTTCTTTCCACATCTGACAAAGCTCACTTGCCAACTCCCATTTGTGGGCATTAGGCTGAGGTGAATTGAGGGCATGTGGCCATCACTTGCTGAGAAGATCCCGGCCTTTCAGAGTCGGGGTCCCCAGATCCAGGTCTGTTTTCAGGCCCCTCACCTCTGTGTCTGGATGAATTGGCTCCAGCTGTTGTGCTTCCACCAGGAGCAGGTTATTTTGGCTTGAATGGGCAATTTGTTTGCTTTCTCCCCTGATATGCAGTTGTTTTGTCTTCCTTTCCTGCAGAGAAAAAAGA